CTCTAAGACCCCAACCACCTCAGCCTGGCATTATTTGGAGAAGAACCCCCCAATACTTACTTAGGCTAGTAAGTATGGAATGGAAGAGATGCAGCTCACATCGCAACAAGGAATGTAAACCTTATGAAGTTGGTAAAATCTCCAAGCGATTGTAAACATTTCCCACTGGCAGAGTTTTCAGAAGAGCAGGGTTACCTTTATGGCCTGGATTCAGAGAGGATGCATTGCCAAACACACACTTGAAAGTTTGGATAATACTTCCTACATCTCATGGAATGCCCAATAATCTACAAAACAACTGCAAAATCAGGCAAAAGATTATTACGGAATAAGTAAGCACCGTATAGAAAAGAAGAGACACTTGTGAGATGAGTCACAAATGACTCAACTGTTAGCTTTTAAATATTTAGTTTAAAAGGTTTATTAATTTCTTCATCTCCAATTTAGTTGAAAGATAGCTAGGTTATGTAAGTGACATTCAAAAGGCATATTTTATTAATATTTCATTATTGTGACTCAGTTCAGTTAATACTACCATTAAATGCTGAGGAGCCCCTGTAAATCTCAAATTAAATCTTCTAAATTGTAAAGGGAGAGAAAAGTTTTATTTATTTCGTACATTGAAAAAAAAAGTATAAAACTGATAAAATAGAGGGAGTGCAAGCAGCTAAATAATTTTAGACCAAAACTGGGTAACAGTGACCACATTGTCTGTGAGCAATTGTGGGAGTTGCAGTCCAAAACACATGGAGGGACAAAGTTTGCCCATGCCTGCTTTAAACAGTTCTTCCTCTGTGCATGAGGCAGGACATTGTGGGCAAGCATACAGATGCTGAGTGGCTTGTATTGCTTCACAGTCACACAAGGTGGAGGATTTTTCTAGGCAATGCCATTTGATCTCCCAACTCCACTTCTGAGTCTGTTCACAGACTTCCAACTTGCCCATTCTTATTTTGCCCCTGGAGGAAGACCCTTGTGGGGGGCCATCTGTTTGGAATTGCCTGATTTTGCTGCCCCTTATGGATATTCTTTCTGTTGCTGGAGGAACATTAAGCAGAGTGGTGGTTTTTATGAAACTTTCCCTTGATTTAAGTCTACTGGGAGGAGGCTGATAACCATATAGTGGGTGGCTTTCACAGACTTATGCTCTTCTCCACAACTTATTTATATGAACAAGAGTTTTCTGTTTTGTTGGTAATTAAAAATAAGTCCGGGAATCGATTGAGAGGACAGTAGAGTCTCGCTTATCCAACCTTCACTCATCCAACATTTTGTATTATCCAACACAGTCTGCCTCCTGATTGGATGCACCGTTGTTTCAATACATTGTGATGTTTTGGTGCTAAATTTGTAAATACAGTAATTACTACATAACATTACCATGCATTGAACTGTTTTTTTTCTGTCGATTTGTTGCAAAACATGATGTTTTGTTGCTTAATTTGTAAAATCATAACGTAATTTGCCGTTTATTAGGCTTTTCCTTAATCCCTCTTTATTATCCAACATTTTCCTTTATCCAATGTTCTGTTGGTCCTTTTATGTTGGATAAGCAAGACTCTACTGTAAGTGATGACACGTGTAGCTTTGAGCAATAATATTACCCTAAGATAACCCAACTTGTAAATAAGATGAAAGCTCAAAAATCACATTGATGCAAACTGAATGTTCTTTTTGAAATGTTCTTTTTAATATCACAATAATACTCTTAATTCAAGTTACTATTAAGTTTAATGAATATGTTTAAAGTTTTGATTAAAGTTTATTTTTAGATTAACACAGTTTATTATTCTTGAACCTTATAGTCCCTGCTAACAACAACAACAAAAATCAAAGTGGTCCCTGGTCAAGAAAGGTTGGGAACCACTAATCCAATGTGACACTGAGATATTTAGGGTGGGAACAGTGTTCAAGCTCTTGGCCTTCCCAGGTAACTTTCAATTACCCATTGGCTTCACAGTTATGTACGTGGAAAACACACACTTGTGTCTTGGCAGTGTTGGGCTTCAAGTGGTTATCTTTGTAGTAGCTGGAGAGATCTTTCAAGGCATTAGTAAGTTGGTTTTCAACTATTTCAAAGTCTTTTGCTTGTGGGTTGCTGTGAGTTTTCTGGGCTGTATGGCCATGTCCCAGAAGCATTCCCTCCTGATGTTTCATTCACATCTATGGCAGGCATCCTCAGAGGTTATGAGTCGCCTTAGGGCTGAGAATGGCGGTATACAAATGAAGTAAATAAATAAATAAATTATGAGGTCTGTTGGAAGCTAGGCAAGAGAGGGTATATATCTATGGGATATCCAGGATGGGAGAAAGAACTCTTGGTGATAGTATGATAGCTGGGTCCCAGTGTCACTAGCATTACGCTGTTTCCGGAATGCTGCTTCGAGTACCCAGATTGCGGAATGCAGGCACGGGATGATACCACTGAAGTAATTTAACGCAGGGGGGACACAAATAATAGTGAAGGAATGTAACAGTTCCTTAATGAGAAATGGTAAACAACTGTTTGGGAAACTGTTTGGGAAGACCTTAAACTGGATAGAAATCAGCAATCTGACCCAAAATATTATTAAACGCTTCAATCTTGTTCCAACACCACATCCAGGCTGTCCATAAACTGGAGGGTGTTGGGCACAAATTCAACGTGCTTGCCAAATACGGCTAGCTCCGTTGTCTGAAAGTGGTCAATAATCTGGATTACATTCATTTTACACCACTCCTCGTATTTCTCCCCCACTTTCTATCCTTCCTTCTAATACAACTACGAACTATTTCCCCGACTTTGTCCCCCCTCCGCCTCTCAGTCCACCCACTCTCACTCTGCCCCCTCCCTTGACCATGTGGTCAGACACATGTTCCCTTCTCTCATTCACAGCCGCCATTGTGGAATTAGCGTAACGCTAGCGGCACTGGGACCCAGCTATGATACTATCACCGAACTCTTGCCTGCTTGAAGCAAGTGTGAATGTTGCAATTGGCCACCTTGATTAGCATTTAATGGCCTTATAACTTTTCTGAAGCTCTAGGTGCTCTTACTGCCTATTACAGGGAAAACCAGCTGATCCCTAATCCATCTAAAACACAGACATGTGCTTTTCACCTTAAGAACAGACAAGCATCCCGAGCTCTGAGGATGACCTGGGAAGGAATCCCACTGGAGCATTGCAGCACACCCAGATACCTGGGAGTCACTCTGGACCGTGCTCTGACTTACAAGAAGCACTGCCTGAACATCAAGCAAAAAGTGGGCACTAGAAATAATATCATACGAAAGCTGACTGGCACAACCTGGGGATCACAACCAGACACAGTGAAGACATCTGCCCTTGCGCTGTTCTTCTCTGCTGCAGAGTATGCATGCTCAGTGTGGAACACATCTCACCACACTAAAACAATGGATGTGGCTCTTAATGAAACATGCTGCATTATCACGGGGTGTCTGAGCCCTACACCACTGGAGAAATTACGCTGCTTATTAGCCGTTATTGCACCACCTGACATCCGCCGGGAAGTAGCAACAAATAGTGGAAGGACCAAGGCAGAGACATTTCCAGCTCATCCCGTTTGGATATCAGCCAGCATGTCAATGACTTAAATCAAGAAATAGTTTTCTAAGATCTACAGAGACACTCGCTGGAACACCTCAGCAAGCGAGAGTCCAAAAGTGGCAGGCTCAAACCCAGAACCTCAATCAATGGCTGATACCCAATGAGAGATTCCCCCCTGGGCACACAGAAAACTGGGCGACTTGGAAGGCACTGAACAGACTGCGCTCTGGAACCACGAGATGCAGAGCCAACCTTCAGAAATGGGGCCACAAAGTGGAATCCACGGCATGCGAGTGTAGAGAGGAGCAAACTACAGACCACCTGCTGCAATGCAACCTGAGCCCTGCCACATGCACAAAGGAGGACTTCCTTGCGGCAACACCAGAAGCACTCCAAGTGGCCAGATACTGGTCAAAGGACATTTAATGAACTACCAAGCTTGCAAACTTTGTGTTTTGTCTGTTTGTTTGTTTAAAAAAATTCAATATTTATTTATTTATTTCGTGTACTTCTACCCCGCCCTTCTCAACCCCCGAGGGGGGACTCAGGGTGGCTTACAAAAAAAAGGCACAATTCGTTGCCTACACAGTAACACAGATAAAAAATAGACAGCAATTAAAACAGTTTTAACAGTTAAAAACAATCAATATATAACAGTCAATAAAAACCAATCTTATGCTCACGTTCGCAACTCAGAGTCCATAACTTCATTCCACAATTTCCATTCCTATCAGTCGTCAATATCCTTTATTTATCTGCCAGATTGCCCAAATGCCTGGTCCCAAATCCATGTTTTTAATTTCCTTCTAAAGGAAAGGAAGGATGGCGATGATCTAATTTCCCCGGGGAGTGAATTCCATAGGTGAGGGGCCACCATCGAGAAGGCCCTGCTCCTTGTCCCCGCTAGCCTCACTTGTGATAGAGGCGGGGCCAAGAGCAGGGCCTCCTCGGAGGATCTTAAACTCCGAGGTGGGACGTAGAGAGCAATGCGTTTGGACAGATACGCTGGGCTGGAACCATATAGGGTTTTGTAGATCAAAACCAGCACTTTGAATTGTGCTCTGAACTGGATCGGCAGCCAGTGGAGCTGACACAACAGCGGGGTGGTATGCTCCCTGTATGACGCTCCGTGAGCAATCTGGCTGCCTCCCACTGGACTAATTGAAGTTTCCGAACAGTCTTCAAAGGCAACCCCACGTAGAGTGCGTTGCAGTAATCTATCCGGGATCTATCCGGGATGTAACAATACAACTGTTTGGTCTGCTCCTGACACGATAAATAAATAAATCAAAAGAGAGAACACTCTCCAGTTGCAATGATGGCTCCCAACCACTTGATGGCGCTTCAAACGTGTTGTATTCAGGCAGCGAGAGAGAGAGAGAGAGAGAGAGAGAGAGAGACGGTTGCCATGGTAGCCAGGATGTCAGAGACCGGAAGCACTAGCAGATGGACTACATTTCCCAGAAGGCACCGGAAGGGGCGGGGCAAGAACGAGTGCCTAGCTGCTGTTAGAAGACATTAACAGAAAGCAAAGCCTGGCTGTGGGCAAAGGTTACGGCTTCAAGGTAGGAATGTCAGGCTGTGCTCTTCTATTTGCAACCTGTCATTTGAAGGAAGGGAAACAAAGTCAAGTGGAGGCTTAGCTTTCCACCAGAGTTACTGGATTCTTGGCCTACTTCTTTCTACTATAGGAAGTTGGGGGGAAATCATAGATTTGCTCTTGTTTGGCCTTGTAACTGTTGTGTTTTGGCTGCACTTGGGGGTCAGGTATATAATAGAGCCCCTTGGGGTGCATCTGCACTGTAGACTTGATGCAGTTTGACACCACTTTGACAGCCATGGCTCAGTGCTATGGAATCATGGGAATTGTAGTTTTATATGTAGTTTTGTTTGTAATTGGAGCATTAGTACATTGGCAGAGGAGGCTATAGTACAAGCCTGGGCAAACTTGGGCCCTCCAGGTGTTTTGGACTTCAACTCCCACAATTCCTAACAGCCTACCGGCTGTTAGGAATTGTGGGAGTTGAAGTCCAAAACACCTGGAGGGCCCAAGTTTGCCCAGGCCTGTACTATAGCCTTCTCTGCCAACGTGCTAATGCCCCAACTACAAATCCCATACTGCATTCATTTTACCATTCAAACGTATCCTTTTTTGTTCTCTCCCTTTCCAGAAGAGTAATAGTAAGTTAAAATGGGAGCGTTGTGAGGGCAGGAGTTAATTACGATGTTTAAAATAGCTTTGCACTGCAAAAATAGGGCAAGTCAAATTGTTGGGAAGTCGTTGTGACTAGTTTCCAGTTTAGTGGGGAGTTTGTACATACAACCAAAGACACTACTTTACTCATAATTAGGTGTAAGTAAGGATAATATATAGGTATTGTGTTGTTTTTAATCAGCACTGTGAAAGAACTGGACAGAGAAATTGTTTAATTTTAGGGTTGATTGCAGGAAGAAGCAGAGATGGGTGTAAAGAGTGCATCTATATCGGATTGAGCCCACTTCGGCCCTCCAGGTGTTTTGGACTTCATCTCACAATTCCTAAAAATTGTGAGTGTTGATTTGCTGTTGTTTGGCCTTGTAATTGTTGTGTTTTGGCTGCACTTGTGGGTCAGCTTACATTAGAGCCCCTTGGGGTGCATCTACACTTAGTGATAATGTTGTATATTTTATTGCCTATGTTTTATTTTTAATTGCGTTGTATTGTTGTTTATTGTCTGTATTGTTGTATTTGGGCTCGGCCTCATGTAAGCCGCACCGAGTCCCTTGGGGAGATGGTAAAAGGTAAAGGTAGTCCCCTGACATTAAGTCCAGTCATGTCTGACTCTGGGGTGTGGTGCTCATCTCCATTTCTAAGCCGAAGAGGTTGTCCGTAGACACCTCCAAGGTCATGTGGCCGGCATGACTGCATGGAGCGCCGTTACCTTCCCGCCAGAGCGGTACCTATTGATCTACTCACATTTGCATGTTTTCGAACTGCTAGGTTGGCAGAAGCTAGTGCTGACAGCGGAAGCTCACGCCACTCCCCGGGATCGAACCTGCGACCTTTTGATCAACAAGCTCAGCAGCTCAGTGCTTTAACCCACTGCACAACCGGGGGCTCCTGGGGAGATGGTAGCGGGGTAAAAATAAAGTGTAATAATAATAATAATAATAAAGACCAAAGCACCTGGAGGGCCGAATTTTGCCCTTGTCTGATCTACATAGTAGAAATAACACAATTTGAGACCACTTTAATTGCCATGGCTCAATGCTGTGGTGTTGTTGCACTTGTAGTTTTACAACGCCTTCAGATTCTCTTCCAGAGAGTGCTGATACATCACCAAACTATACAAATCCCATTATTTCATTCAGCCACAGTATTTAAAGTGTTGTCTATTTATTTCTTTTGTGTCAAAAGCACTGCATAAATAAATACAGTATATTCTGGCATATAAGACTACTTTTTAACCCAAGAAAATCTCCTCAAAAGTCAGGGGTCGTCTTATACACGGGTGTAGTCTTATGCACGGGAGTCGTCTTAACTCTATATTTTAACTGGAAAAGTTGGGGGTCGTCTTATACGCCCAGTCGCCTTATATGCCGGAATATATGGTAAGTATAAAACTGATAAAGGGAGTACAAGCAGCTAAATAATTTTAGACCAAAAACGGGCAACAACGACCACATTGTCTGTAGCTTTAAACAGTTCTTCCTCTGTGCATGAGGCAGGGCATTGTGGGCAAGCATACAGATGCGGAGTTGTTTGTTCTGTTCCATAGTCACACAAGGTGTAGAATTCTTCTAGGTAGTGCCATTTTGCCATGTTTTCTTTTGATCTGCCAACTCCATTTCTGAGTCTGTTCAGGACTTCCAAGTTGCCCATTCTTGGTTTTCACTAGGAGGAAGACCATCATGGGGGTACCATCCAGTTGGAATTGCCTGATTTTGCTGCCCAGAGGGATATTCTTTTTATTGCTGGAGGAACATTTAGAGGAGTGGTGGTTCTCATGCAACTTTTCCTTGATTTAAGTCTACTGGGAGGAGGCTGATAGCCATGCAATGGGTGGCTTTCACAGTGTTCAACCTTATTTCTCTCGCAATTGGCAGCAACTTCCCGTCGCACATGGAGGGCAGGGACAATGCCCGTTAGCTTATAAAGTCTATCAACAGGTGTAGGTTTAAGACATCCTGTGATTATTCCACATGTCTCATTCAGTGCTGTTAAAGGGCATTAATTCTACAGTGTAGATGCACCCAAAGTTAGATGGTATGACATCCTTGAAGACTAACATTTCACTGGGCTGAGAAAGTGTAAGGTACCAGCAAATCTTCTAAAGGTATCACATTCTGTTTGATCTTGGGAACTGAACTAGCTAGCCAACAAGTATCAGGTACAATAGGGTGTATATCAGCAGAAGGAACTAGCAGAAACTACTCCTGAGTATTCCTTGCCTAAGAAAATATTATGAAATTCATGTAGTCACATAAATCAACAGGTGTTGCAGGCATACACCATTTCATATGCAAACCTTTTTAGTGCATACCATTCCTTGACACTTTTAAAATCACTTTTTTTAACTCTATAACTGAGGTAGAGAAAGAAAGGTTAAAAACTTTGTCTCCACCCATCCACATCTCTTCCATCTCTTGTTGTTAATGCCACTTCTCAGGCTAGGACACTATGGAGCCATAGATTTAAGCTGCAGGAAAAGTGATTCCACTTCAATATTAGGAAGAACTTCCTGATTGTAAGAGCTGTTCAGCAGTGGGGTATGCTGCTGCCTTGGAGTGTAGTGATATCCCCTTTTCTTGAGGTTTTTAAACCATTTGAATATCCATCTCTTGGGAGTGTGCTGTTCCTACATGGTGGAATGGGGTTGGACTGGACGGCCTCTTACAACACTGAGTAAACATACTATACAATCTATAAATCTGCAAGCATCTATGTAAGTTTTATTGAAAGAAAGCCCCAGTGATCTCAGTGGAGTTTTCCATCCAAGCAACATGTGTAACATCACATTGCACAATATCCAGTGGACTTTTCAAAAATATACTGGGAGAGGAACCTAAATAAGAGGGAAAACTAGTAGTACTTTTTCTTCTCATCCTTGTGCGCAAACATGCCATTTCCCAGGTTCTTATTTTGACTCACCCTGAAATAATTGTGTTATTTTCTGTTTATTGTCTCTCCATCTTCCTTGTGGAGGGGCCCCTTCCACAGAGCTGAATAAAATCCCACATTATCTGCTTTGAACTAGGGTATATGGCAGTGTGGACTCATATAACCCAGTTCAAAGCAGATAGTGTGAGGTTTTCTGCCTTGATATTCTGGGCTATATAGCTGTGTGGAATTACCTTCAATCTATGTGTATAAGGCAGACATGGGCAAAATTTGGCCCTCCAGGTGTTTTGGACTTCAACTCCCACAATTCCTAATAGTCGTCTGTTAGGAATTGCAGGAGTTGAAGTTCAAAACACCTGGAGGGCCAAAGTTTGCACATGCCTGGTATATAGTGTATACGAAACAAATATATTTGATTATAAGATCTCTCATGATGTCTGTGCAAATAAAATCAAAATCTTGTGTGTGTGTGTGTGTGTGTGTGTGTGTGTGTGTGTGTGTATAATCCAAAACGTTTCAGTTCCCAAACATTTTGGATAAGGGATACTCCACATATACCATGTCCTCCGCAAATTCTTATGGGGTGCATCCACACTGCTGATTAAATGCAGTTTGGCTACACTTTAAGTGCAATGTCTCAAGGTTATGGGGTTCTGGGAGCTGTAGTTTGGTGAGGCACCAACACTCTTTGGGAGAGAAGGCTAAAGACCTTTCCAGGAACCCATAGCATTGAGCCATGGCAGTTACAGCGGTATCAAACTGCATTCATCCTACAGCGTAGAAGGTGCACCCATGGATATTGACTGAATTGAAACTAAGGAAGAACTAATGGGGGGAGGGGGGTACTTGTATTTACACTGTAGAATTAATGTAGTTTGGCACCACTATAACTGCCATGGCGCAACGCAATTGGGGATCCCAGGAGTGGCAGTGTTGCAAGTAAAGCCTTCCCTGCCCCCCCCCCCCCCCAATAAAGAAAGAAAGGGAAGATGCATCATCCGAAGTACAAATCCTAGAATTCCATGGTTAAAGGGGTGCCAAACTGTGTTAATTCTACAGTGTAAACACCCCTATGGGCTTGGGAGGCCACTAGAATGACTGAGGAGTGAACTGAGTCCTCTGCTGGGGTTTTCTGCGTCTCAGTGTACTAGTATACTAGTTTCAAAGGTGTCTGAGACTTTTGCATCTCCTCTTCCTCACGACTCTAATATTTCTCATTCTCTTTTGGTTGCAGGCAATTTCCCCAGGAAGGTAAGAAGAAGCAGAAGAACAACACTCGCAGGCAACCTCTTTAGGGCCCCAGAGGCGGAGGAGGGGGTCAACATGGCGGAGACAGAGGCCGAGTCCAGCGCTGGCCTCTCCGTCCACGAGACCCGCTTTGAGGCGGCTGTGAAGGTGATCCAAAGCCTGCCAAAAAACGGTGAGCAGGTGCAAACTGGGATGGGCAAACTTCGCCCCTCTGGGTGTTTTGGACTCCAACTCCCACAATTCCTAATAGGCAAAGTTTGCCTAGGCCTGTATTTACCTCTTTTAATTTTTTTTAAACATGAACATCAAAGTGAGTTGTGTTTTGGAATTATTTAATGTTTTCCCCTTCAATTAAAAACATGCTGTTAAATTGCTCCTATAATGGCACGTGTTTCAATGTGGGGTGAACAGAAGAATAAGTCCCATGGCAATCACAGCTGGAAGCAGCTAGACTACAATATCTCTGGAACGCCCTTCCCATGGAGGTAAGATCAGCCTCCTCGCTGATGGTATTTCGAAGAAGACTAAAAACTTGGATGTTCAAACAGGCATTTGGTTAATTCGGTGCAATGAATGTGTTGATTACGGATTGGTAATATGGATGATGCAATTGGACCACGATTTTAGTTAGGAGATGTATTGGATTGTGATTTTGTGATTTCGTGTAATATTGTGTATTATGTTTTTTATGGTTTTAATTGTATATTGTGCACTGCATACTTTGTTGTAAACCGCGTTGAGTCGCCAGTTAGGCTGAGAAACGGCGGTATACAAGGACAGTAAATAAATAAATAAATAAATAAATTTTCCCATGGCAAAGTATGTCTGTCAATGGCTGTGGGTGTAATAAGGTTTCAACACAGGAGATATGTCGGTAGCTAGGTAGGCTGTCACAGAGAAAGTGCCATTGTCCATTCTTTTGTAAAGCTAGCATGCACAGTCTTTTTTGCATTACATTCACTCAGGGCCTTCTAAACTTCCATATAATCTAGAATATCAAGGCAGATAATCCACATTAACTGCTTTGAACTAGATAAACTGAGTACACTGCCATATAATCCAGTTCAAAGCAGATAATCTGGATTTTATGCAGCTGTGTAGAAGGGACTTCAGAGGAAATTGAGAAAAACAATGGCGTAAATCTTGCTGCTAATTCCAGCTGGAGCCAACTTTTTGAATCAATTTACAATTTAAACGCTAGATCAATGAGTCTACGACCCCTTCCACACAGCTGAATAAAATCCCACATTATCTGCTTTGAACTGGAATATATGGCAGTGTGGACTCAGATAATCCAGTTCAAAGCAGTTCAAAGCAGATATTTTGGGATTTTCTGCCTTGATATACTGGGATATAGGGCTGTGTGGAAGAGCCCTACTTCAACGGTCTCTTAACAATTGTATTTAATCCAGTGATACCTGAAAGTGACTGTGATGAGGTTTTTGTGTGTGTTTATACAAAGATACAATGACCAGCCACTAGATACTTTTGGCTCATAAAGTAAACATAGACAAGAGCTCTAATTGGGTTGATGTGGGTAATGGAAAATCTTAACTGAAACACTTGCACTGTGTGCTGTTAGTTCTCAGTATCCCTGTACTTCAAGCAATGCCATTTTGAATTCAAACAACTATTGTATTTAAGAGTTGTTGTCCTAATTTTTCATTCTGAAAAAAACTTTTGTGCAGGTTCCTTCCAGCCAACAAATGAAATGATGCTCAAGTTCTATAGCTTTTATAAACAAGCAACCCAAGGACCTTGCAATAGTCAGAGACCTGGATTTTGGGACCCTATTGGCAGATACAAATGGTAAATATGATACATAAGAGCAAAATATGTTGTAAGCTGTTATTTGTAGACATGCCGTGCTCAGAATAGGCGAGGGCTGGCTATACTGTTTTTTTCCTGTTTGTTTGTTTTTATTTCATAAGTAGTCACAAGGCTCATAATTAGTCATATGTATGTGTGTGTGTGTGTTTCTATAGAAAGTTCCAAGCTTAATCCTTGGGAAGTCTAGAAAAAGACTTTGAAACACCATTGCCAGGATAGACTATGCTGGGTTAAGTGAACCAGTGATCTGACTCAGTATTAGGCAGTAGTCATGGGCACAAAATTTCTCCCATTCATTTCATTCGTGTTTTCGTTTCGTTCTGTCCATTCAGATGGCACGAAATGGAAAGGCCCCTGCTGAAATGAAAATGCAATTGATAGGAAAGGCAAGCAGGCCTGCTTTCCGGATCGATTGTGTGGGGCCTGGCAGGGCCTGCAGCCGAGCACCAAATAAAGAGCGCTTCTTAATCAGCGCTTGGCTGCAGGCCCTGCCAGGCCTGGATGCGTAGGCCCAAAGCCTGCACCCGTAGACCTGGGCGCTTTTGGCCTATGGGGCCTGGCAGGGCCTGCAGCCAAGCACCAAATAAAGAGCGCTCCTTACTCAACATTTGGCTGCAGGCCCTGCCAGGCCTGGGTGCATTGGCCCAAAGCCTGCACCGTAGACTCAAAGCACCCAAGCCTAAGGGTGAAGCCCTCTCCCCCAATAATGGGCTGAAAGAAAACAGATCTTTTGGCCCTGAAAACGTAAAACAAATATCTGACTTCCTGGCTTCGAGAGGCTCAGACAAAAACGGATTGGGGCCATGACCGAAAGCCAGGACACAAAATACCGTATATTCTAGCATATAAGACGACTGGGCGTATAAGACGACCCCCAACTTTTCCAGTTAAAATATAGAGTTTGGGATATATTCGCCGTATAAGACTACCCCTCTTACAACGCAAACCAAATAAAAATTTTAAAAGCATCAGATTTTATTTCAATATGGTAATTTTCCTATTACAGTACCTCCTTCTCTGCCTCTTAGATCTCGCACATGTGCACCTGCACCACTTCACTCCAGTCTTCAGGAGCAAGCTCTGAGAGGCAGGGGAGGAGGTACAGTTATAGGATACAAGGGCGGGTAAAAGAGGTGTGTTTGTCTGGGCCCAGAGCCACTCTGTCTCTTTTTTCCATACCCCGGGCGCCCCGGAAGCCTGCAGTTTGCTTCACTTACACCTTCCCGGTGAGGCGCCCCTTCACCTCACCATCGGGACCGCATTAAGTCCATGAATCCTGATTAATGGATTTTCTTCTACCGTACTTGTAGCACCCTTAATGCTTTCATACAGTCGCTGCATTCAGCAGGGACACGGCCATTGCCATTTTTGAGCTTCCCCCACCATATGCGGCAACCACAGATTCTCCAATCCAATTGGAAGTTTTAGCACCTGCTCTATAAGATGACTCCAGCGTATAAGACGACTCCCACTTATAAGACTACTCCCTCGTATAAGACTACTCCCGCGTATAAGACTACTCCTGTGTATAAGACTACTCCCGCGTATAATATAAGTCCTGCTTGCTGCCTTTCCTCTTTGTATTTTAAATCTACCCAGTAAACAATATGAAGTTACTGGAATGAAATATAACATTCATAACAGAGTAGGAGAGATAAGAGTTGACAGTGGAGAAGGAAGGCTGGGTCAGTGCATAAATGAACAGCACTAAGGGCAAATACAAAATAAACGTAGAAAATTGAGGATGTTTGTGATGTTCATTGTAGGGATGCATGGAGCGCTTTAGGGGACATGCCGAAAGAAGACGCTATGATTGCCTATGTTGAAGAAATGAAAAAGGTAAGAGTTGTCAGTACTAACATAAAACTAATGTCCCAATCATTTTATTTGTGAGTTCTGAAGCCTTGGAACTTCAGAAGAGATTTCTGAACATTATTTCATGGACTTTACCTTACACAATTGCCACAGTGTCAAGAGTTTTTAGGAGTGCTGGGATGAAAAAGTGGCCATTGGTTGTATAGTAGTTTAAGAAATGCTTGTGGTGCTAAGCAACCTACAGTGGATTACTGGAACTGGAATTGCTTTACAGCAAAATAGAGATGTAGAAAAGCATGAGGCGCTCTGATACGTTTGTTTTTAAAACTTATGATCTGGACACAGATGACCAAGACAGTTTTAAACAGTGTATTTTAATATTTTGATAAATGTTTTTAATGTTTTTGTATACTCATAGGAATTCTTGTCCCAGTGTTGAATGTTTGTCGTATATATGCTGTGCTCCGCCCTGAGTCCCCTTCAGGGTGAGAAGGGCGGAATATAAATGTTTTAAATAAATAAACAAATAATAAATACTTGAATCATAAGTGAATACTGGTGTTAGCCATTTTAAAGCCATTTTAATGTAATTGTATCTTAATTGCCTTTAGGGTATACGTTGTAATGTTTTACTCATGTTTTATTTTGCTATGTCTTATTGGATTGTTCTTAATTATTTGCATCTCGATGCTAAATTCTTTGTTGTAAGTTTACTGTTGTTACTATGCATTATCTTGTATTATTTTGAAGTGTTTGTATTCATTTGAGGCACTGAATGTCTACATTTTTGTTTTGTGTCTTTAAACCACCCTGAGTCTCTTTGGGGAGAGAGGGTGATCTAGAAATAAAGATTTTTATATTAAGAAATGTATTAACAAAGTACTTAAATGTCTTGAAACTGGGAAACCTGAATCTTGGGTAACTATGTAGAACTCCCAGTCTGATCTCTGTTTTTGTAAATGTGAGCTGAATGCTTATGTATTTCTTTGAGGCACAGATAGATTCCAGTGCTTCATACTAAACAGATCCCATAAATGTTGACACCTGCTGTATATACTTGAGTATAAGCCAAGTTTTTCAGCCCTTTTTTAAGGCGGGATAATCCCTCCTCGGGTTATACTCAAGTCAAGGTTATTTATTATTTTCCTCTGTTATTAATATTTTATTGCATTTATTATTTTACTCTATTATTATTATTATTATTATTATTATTACATTTACATTATTTTACTCTATTATTATTATTACATTTACATTATTTTACTCTATTAATTATTATTTTATTACATTTATTATTTTATTCTATTATTATTACATTTATTTTTTCTCTATTGTTATTACATGTATTATTTTACTCTATTATTACATTTATTATTTGTTTCTATTTATTTTATTATTACATTTTATTTATTGTTATATTTATTGTTTTACTCTTTTATTAGTAGTACATTTACTAATTTATTCTATTACTGTTACTACATCCGCATTATTTTGCTCTATTATCATTGTTATTATATTTATTATTTTACTCTATTATTGGATGGATATGTAAGCACATGTACATTGAAGAAGGTTAGAATAATGGTTTAATCAGAGTTGGACAGTCTTATCTTAAATTACAGTTTTAGGTAAATATTCAAAAACATTTAACCTACTGATGCCTCAATTAATTTTATTGTGATCTATTTTTATTTTGAAATTTACCAGTAGCTGCTGCATTTCCCACTCTTGGCTTATATTTGAGTCAATACATTTTCCAAGTTTTGGGGGATAAAATTAGGTGTCTCAGCTTCAGGCCCGTAGCCAGGATTTCGTTTCGGGGGGGGGGGGGGGGCTGAATTTTTTTTCAGGGGGGTTTCGGGGGGGGCTGAGTTTCGAGGGGGGGGGCTGAGTCTGAGTGAAAGAGGGTCTAGCCTAGCAAACCTTTTGTATCATTACCCCAATACCCCCATGCATATGGGATATATTGAGTATGGTGATCAGATCATGATATGAATAAACATAACAGTTTAAATAATGCACCAGTAAGGCCTTTTCGCGAACCACAATGAGAATTTCGGGGGGGGGGAGGGCTGAAGGGCTACATGCCTGCTCAGCTTATATTCGGGTCAGCTTATACTCGAGTACATACGGTATTTATTCTGTGAACTGGCTGCTGATCTTACTTCAATCAGAATTTTGATTTATCTGATCTTTAAATCAATGTGAAACTGCTAAGGATAAACACTCCTTGAATTGCCTAAGATGAACATGAATTAGCTTTGGATGAATACTCCTCCTTGCCTCTTACACCAATAATTTTGCATTTAACCCAGGTAGTGCTATTTGTTGTAAAATGAACCTCTCTATAGCATCTCTAATGAAATGTTGGAGGGTAATATCAATACAGAAATGTATAGGCAGGTTATACAACATGATTTGTTCCTGTTAATCCTTCCCAAAACAAAGATTGAGTTTGGCTCTTACATTCAAGCACAGGAGGAGTATTCATCCAAAGCTAATTCATGTTCATCTTAGGCAATTCAAGGAGTGTTTTTCAACAGCGCTCCATTCTTGAGTGATATATGTGATGAAAATAAATTCTGGCCAGGATCCAAAGTGTTGGGAAAGTAGTGCTTTAGATATTCTCTTGATAATGCTTCCACTTGGTAAACTTTTTTTGAAATAGAAGTTTCATAATTTGTTGGTGATCTTGTACAGCTATCAGGTTTTTTTTCCAAATAGAAGCAATCCTCAGAGACAAATGCAAATCTCTTTATGTACTCAGGTCCCTTCCACACAGCCATATAACTCAGAATATCAAGGCAGAAAATCCCACAATATCTGTTTTGAACTGGAATATATGGCATGTGGACTCAGATAACCCAGCTCAAAACAGATAGTGTGGGATTTTCTGCTTTGATATTCTGGGTTATATGGCTGCGCGGAAGGGCCCTCAGTTGGCTTTTGGGATCCCTGTCAGTATTGTCAGATTAAAAATGTTAAGGACAATGGTTTTATCAGGCTTTTTGCTGTGCAGATATGAGAATAACAAAGACATAGAGAGTCTTGATGAGAAGAATGTTTAAAAGCAGAACTTCCTGAGTTAGGTTTACCTTGAAGAATACTTACACATTTTATCCATGAGTTTTCTAATACATTGCTAAACCCATTCAGATTTTTCTGAAGTTGCTCAGCAACTAGGAAAAATGAAAGTGAAGATAAATTATGAATTTAAACTGTTATGTAAGTCTGGCTAATTTCAATGAAACTTTGCAAGAGTAGCATGAAATAGATATGTTCCAAGACTTTACTTTTTAGAGAGAACATTTGATGCCAGAGGCAGAAATAATATGGAAAGAACAGGGATTGTTTCTTGTCAATATTCTTCAGCACATCTTTTATTCAAAACTTAACACCATGCACATATGAAATAAAACAACTGGGCCAGGTGAGCCTTGTATAAAGTAGACAAAAACATTTTGAACATTCTAGAGACCACGTGAAAGCTCTGCCAAAATGCATCCAGGGAAGTCTTTCTCCCCCCAACCCCCCAATTTTCCATTTCTTATGATTTTGGTGAGCAAATGTAGAGATTTGGTTTTTAACATGCTGGCATGACTACATGGAGCGCCGTTACCTTCTCATCAGAGCGGTACCTTTGATCTCACATTTGCATGTTTTCAAACCGCTAGGTTGGCAGAAACTGGGGCTAACAGGGTGCTCACCCCGCTCCTCAGATTCAAACCGCCAACATTTTGGTCAGCAAGTTCAACAGCTCAGTGGTTTAACACACTGTGCCACTGCGGACACTGAATCAACAATAATATATTTAAATATTTAATCTATTAAAAATAGTTCACATAAATTGCAGTTGGCGGGCAACATTATTACTTGCTGTGCTGTTTTCAATCCAATAACACTTAACGTGAAAGATAAGCAATATAGTAAATATGTTTAATGTTGTCCAAATTATCACTACCACATTATTATACCTTCATCAATATTTTCTTTCTTTTTAAAAACACCTTGACAGAAATTGAATTTAATCTAGATGAAAAACATAGCATACTATGCTTCAAGCACAGAATGAATTTGGTGAATGGAAGTATTCAAGGGATATTTGCTTCTTCTTACATTTGGGTTTTCTTTATTCTCTGTTATATAAATCTACGCTTTTTGGGATTAAGTTAAAATAGGAAAAGCCCTTAAGACATTGTTTGATATTATTAGACATAATGAAAAAGGTAATGTGGGACTCTATGAAATGTACTTTTGCCCTATTCCTTATACAGGTGCAATTGGTAGGAAGTCCTTGTAAACTTTTGGAGGGGCTTCTTTTAAAATATGTAGAGTCAGATCTTCATAGTATAATTGTATATTAAAATTCAGAATCAGCTAGTAGGTTTCTTTGTGTTTAGGAGAAATGGCCTTCATGGGCTTCAAATGGTCTGGGAGTCAAACAATTGTCAAAACGGCCTGCCATAACCTAGAGGAGATATTTGGGTCATGCACCCACCCCAACCCTAACCCCAAATCCAGAAAAAAATCTGTCTCCCGTAGATCACAAAACCAGCCACAACCTGCACTTTCCTTACTGCTGAATTACATGTTCTGCTTAGGACCATTTTGTTTTGCTTATAGATGTACAGGACTTTCTTCTGGTGCCGTGCTCATGTGTGTCCTCTATCTGACGTGCATTTTGTGTTCCTACAGATTCTTGAAAGTATGCCAATGACAGACAAGGTTGAAGAATTGCTACATGTATTAGGTCCCTTCTATGAAATTGTAGAGGACAAAAAGAAGAGAATATCTGACATCATAGGAGGTAGGGATTTAATACTCTTACTTACTCTGTTTTATGACACACAAATCACCTTAAGCCACAATAATATAAAAAGATGGTGTGTTACTTGTCAGGGCAGTAGTCATGTGCACAGCCACCTCATTGTGATATGTTTAAGCCTACAATGGCATCCGCTAAAGGGCAAGAGTGAGGAAACTCTTGTGCTAATGCATCGTTTTCTGGGTGGCTGTGAGTTTTTCGGGCTGTATGGCCATGTTTCAGAAGCATTCTCCTGACATTTTGCTTGCATCTATGGCAGGTCTCCTTAGACGTTGTGAGGTCTTTTTCTGTTTGGCATGTTATAATTTTCATTCATATGTCTTGACTGCACTGACTTGCTACACCGAAAGGCTATCGATTTCCCAATCCTGACAATTTTTAAAATTAAAATTGAATCTATTTATTAAATGTATGCCTCAGATTTGCTCACATTTTAAAAAAACCACCCTGAAATAGTGAGATTAGTTATTCCATGGTTCTGTTTTTGAGAGAGGGACTGGGTATACATAGTTCAAATACTGCAACTTTTTTTTAGTTTATATAATCTTTGATATTGCTGTTTTTAAATTGTTTTTAAATTGTGTTCGCTTTTAGCCTGTTCTTGTAAGCCACTCCGAGCCCCAGGGGAGTGGCGGCATATAAGTTCGAATAACAAATAAATAAATAAACAGTAACGTACCATGTTCATCTTACTTGGAAGCAATCAGAGGACAGAACTGGCAAAACCACCTCAGCATATTACTTTCCTGAGAAAACCCTGTGCAATTCATGGAATCGCCATCAGGCAAGGCGTTTTAAAGTCACATACACACACATTCTGTGGGAGGTGTTGGTTAAAGCAGTGAAACAAAATACTTTTGAATGTTGTTTTAAATTCTTTTTAAAAACAACTATGAACTACTCAAATTACAAGTGAGGTTTGAAAGCCATGCTAAAACAAAAACCCTAAAATGGTGTGTGTTAAAATTTTAGTACGTCAGGATCTCATAGAAGAAGTCATGTAAGCTGGCAAGACATTCAAAACAGTAGCATTAAATTCAGATCTAGGTCATTGATTAACCTACTCTCATGTGGCACAATATACAAACATTGATTAAAAGACCCATTCTAGACCAAACCAAAATATCCTAGGTTAAAGTACATTAAAGAGGAAAAAACCTCCTGCAGAACATGTAAATATTAACTTTACTAAAGATTAAATTTGTCATAGACAGATTCTCAAGCTGTTTTTGTGACAGTACTAAAACATTAATATTGAAATTTGCATATAGTCCATTGCAAATGTGGAGTGGGTGTTAAGCATATTTTCATTATCTGGAGCAAGTGAATGAAAATATTTAATGTCTCAAGAGGATATTTTACTGAATCAACTCTTTTTAAAGAAACACATCAGTCTTTAAAAAATATTTTTACTGGGTTGTTTCCGTTATTTCCCAGTGGTGGCTTCTTGCTGTTTTGTGTTGTTTTGAAATTCATGCATGAAAACTGAGTATCACTTAGTGATATTTCTGAGTAAAGTGTTCAATCCAGGAGGGTTAATGGGACATATCCAATATTTGTTGTTTTTGCGTGCCTTCAAGTTATTTCTGACTTAAGTGAGTAAAGGTAAAGGTAAAGGTTTCCCCTTGACATAAAGCCTAGTCGAATCCGACTCTGGGAGGTGGTGCTCATCTCCAGTTCCAAGCTGAAAATCCAGTGTTGTCCATAGATGCCTCCAAGGTCATGTGGCCGGCATGACTGCATGGAGCGCCGTTACCTTACTGCCAAAACGGTACCTGTAGATCTACTCACATTTGCATGTTTTCAAACTGCTAGGTTAGCAGAAGTTGGGCCTAACACGGGAGCTCACCCCATTCCCCGGATTCGAACTTCCGACCTTTTGGTCAGCAAGTTCAGCAGTTCAGCTGTGCCACCAGGGGCTCTGACTCAAGTGAAGCTCAATGCAAACCCGCCGTAGACCCACAGAAATGATTTATTCCTGCCTTGTTCCATTTAATTCAATGGATCAGATAGGAATAATGCTTAATTTAGCCATATATGCCTGGATAAGGGAGAGAATGGCAAGCGTTTGTATCTGTGTACATTTGGGGAGGATATATTTTGTCCCAGCTTTCTTTCAATGTAAAACAAACTACATGGCAAATTTGCAGGCATTGTTTACAACTGTGCAGATGGCACTATTCTAGAATGTTTTTGTGGTAGAACGAAGTAGACTTTGCAACAAAATGTGACTCTGAAGTTCAACAAATGTCCAACTGTAGTGTACAAAGGTTAAAGGACAAAAGTAGCACAAAAGTGAGGTATGCTGAATCCCCAGCTGTTCAAGGGTAATTCCCCATACAGCTTTCCTTGAAGATGCACTGCTGTCACTTCCGCTCTAGGAACCACCTCAGAAGCAGGAGAACTAAGCATTCCCACTAAGTGCCAGGATAGATAGGGTGCTGACATTAAACTGATTGTTGGATATTTACTTCTTTGACTAACAACATTGACCTTGTGAAAAACACACAAAAAATGACACCTTCCCCTCCAGACTGGTGGTTTCAATGCAGGCAACAAAAATGAACTTGTTACAAAAATAAACTAAAAACAGTTTTTTAAAAATATATTTTGCTTTCACTTCTTTAAACGTTTGGAACAGAGTAATACATTAAGTACAAATGCTACACAATAAGCACTATTAACCCAATTAGTATTGTTGGAGAATTAATTGGGGACACCCATTTTATATAAAGGCTGGTAAGATACCTTACTGGGACGTGGGATCCTTCATTGCAGATTCCTGTGCCTCTTTTGCACTTAGAAATTTGATAGATTATTTCTTCTGGAGCCCCATCCACCTCCTATGGGTATATCTTGCAATTAAAGTGATTAGTCTGCTAGGCTTTATTTATTTATTTATTTTCAGTATTTATATTCCGCCCTTCTCACCCTTTAGGGGGCTCAGGGCGGATCACAGGACACATATACGACAAACATTCAATGCTGATTATACAATGATAAGAGAGACAACAGATAGAAGTATATGTATAGGCCTTTTCCCATCTTTCGGCATTTTTGGAGGCTGTGCTCGGTTTTGGCCACAGGAGGGTGCTGTCACTCCATATCTCTACCGAAAAACTTTCTTTGTTTGTAAACTTTCTCCTTTTTCTGATCAAAATGCCATGCCTAAGATACCTTCCCGCTTTAACGCGGTTCCTATTTATTTGCTCACATTTGTTTTCGAACTGCTAGGTTGGCAGAAGGTGGGCTAAAGGTCAGGTGCTCCCCCTAATCCGGGTTTTGAACTGTCAGCTGTGCAGTTGGCAAGATTGGTGATTAACCTGTTGTGCTAAAGCCCGGCCCTCTTTTCCTCTTGCATGATCCTGAAAGCAGCATGGATGTGTATGCTGTCCTGTTCATGTTGGAAAGACAACTAAGAAGACAGCAACAGCAACAGCAACAACAATGCAATTGGGGGAAAACATGTTGGCACGGGCCTTTTAAGGTCTCTGATAGTTATAATATATAGTCATAGAAAAATTAGCCATCGTCACTGCTACAGCAGTGGTAGTAACTATGGGGAAATTTCTGTTTCAATAGAATTATAACATTTGAGTCAATGACCCATATTGTTGGCTATAGTTTTGACTGTTCCAAAAAAGGAACATTGGTGCACGGCCTCTTTCCCACTCATGAGAAAGATGCTGCTTTTAATTAGATTAGATTCTGTTAGTATCAGAATGCTTCTGTGATGCTTAAAAAATCTTCCCTAAATAAAATCAGTAGAAGTCTTATTACAATGCTAATATTTTAATAGTTGTTAGTCAACCTAAGAGGTGTGAAAGAAGTATGTTGAAATGCAAAAGCTTCTTAATGTTCACTGTCAAAATGTAATCCAGCACAAAGCCTAGGCTTGTTTACTGCGTTAAGTTTTCTAAATGGCTGTTTGCAGAAACAAGTTACTCCAGTTTGCTCACATACTACAGAGGTATGAAATACTGTTTACAGTTTTCAGCTGGAGACTACGATCTTTAGCCTCCAGAAGACAAAGTGCATATGGTTAGTGGGAGGAGATTAGGGAATTTCTCTTTTGTATGTATTTTCCCACTGGATTTCATTTGAAGACTATATCATATGCACACTTACTTTCAAAACACATTTCTCTTGTAAGCATAATCTCAATCTTACTATTCAGGTCTATAAAAATATTCAAAAGAAGAGCAACATAAGGCTACTAAAAGAAGCATGCTGATCAATAATTTTCTGGGTTCAGATGGCACGACTGGATAACTTTTTGCTTGGAGCTTTTGGGAGCTGGAAGAAAAAAATCCAGTTTATGGGCCTTATCTGACAAATGAAGCATTTTTCTTGGGATGCTAAACTGATTAACTTGTTAAAAGATTGCATTCCAGCGCAAAATGCAATCAAGATTTTAAGAAATGGTTCCTAAAATATATTGTATTTGCACCCGTTGCAAACAATGCCACGGAGGCAGAAAGAGAAAAACTAAAATGTAGTATGGACTTCAGTGACTGAAATATCTTAAAGCAGTGGTTCCTAACCAGTGGTCCCCAAGAACAAAAATATGGTCCACAGCCTCACCATTACTACACTGTTGCCTTGAAACCACACAGCAATGAGAGCAGCTGGTCTCTTGAAACCCTCTTATAGTGCCGAGGCAACAGGGATGTCAGGAGGGGAGAGCCTGTCTACCCACGAAAGATTACTACTACCACATCAGCTCTAGATTATTAAATATGGTTTTCTGTGGGCAAGCAGATGGTGACTACTGGATGGCATATGCTTTGTATCAGAAAACAGAGCTGATGTGGTCTATCTTATGCAATTTTCTGAATCAGCACCCCAAATCACTAAACCAAATCTAAAGTTGACCAAAAACTGATTCGTTGGAGAGTGGTCCCTGGTCAAAGTGGTCCCTGTTAAAAAAAACATTGGGGAACCACTGCCCTAAAGGAACCAGATCCCATCCGATCTTGGAA